AAAAAAAATTATTTATTTAATTTTATTTATTCATTCATTTATTTTCATTTGACCAGAGAGAGAGAGAGAGGGAAAGTAAGGAAGCAAGCCGCCAGGGTTGGGACTCAAACCATGGTCAACCATGTGGGAGTGTCCAGCGCCTTAACCACCACGCCACCTGCTGGTCCTCATATAAGTCTCTTTTCTCAGCTAGACAACTTGGCTTCTGTTGCTTGCATCCAGTGAGTCAAACACTCCCCCTTGCCCCTGGCCTGGGTTTGCCAACATGGTCAGCTCATGAAGCACCTTTTCTAGGAATACTTTTTTTTTTTTTTTAATTTGATATAGGTCATGTATACTCCTGACCATCCTCTCAGGATTCGGGGCATATACACACATACAGCACACATGTTTTTCAAGCCAACAGGTTCCGGATCCAAATCACGTAGTCGGTCATGTGGGATCAAGCTGCCAAACCACCATGCCACCTGCTAACCCTGTACGGATACATTTTAAGGTTTACTCTTTAAAGTTTAACCTTCTGCAAGATGGCCAATGCGTTTCATTATTCTTAGGTATTTTTAGCCATTCCATAGCGTGCTCTGCCTTCCTTAATGAAGTGGCATTACGTTCCCTCTAATTACTCTTGGTGTCTTCATTTGTTTTCACCTTTCCCGAGCCCTCGGCTTCATTTCTTGCTCATCTGCTTTTTTTACTCTGCGTTCGTTTTCCCTTAGGGTTTGTGAGATTTAAGAAGCTTCTGTTGTGCATGAACTACATGATAGATATTACTCTAGGGACAGAGGCGCGAAGGTGAGGAGGACAGAGTCGTCACCTATGTGAAGATCAGAGTTGAACAAATAAGATGTCACAGACTCAAGACAGGCTCACTTCTGGAAGCAAGGATGACACTGGGCACGTAAAAGGCCGACATTTGATTCTGTACGAGAACTCTCTCTCCACAGTGAGATTCCTCTATTCTTCAGTATTCACTGGGTCCCTCGTGCAGACCAGGCACAGCGTGGTGCCAGCATCCTGGTCATCTGTCCTTATTTCTCCCTGGTGGGATGAATAAACTACTTGTATTTTTTAAAAAAGAATTATTTCATTTAACTTTCTTTCTTTCTTTTAATTTGATCAGAGAGGGACAAAGTGAGAAAGGAAGCCACCAGATCCGGGACTCAAACTGTGGTCGGCCACGTGGGAATCCAACACTCTTCACCACCATGCCATCTGCCGGCCCCAAGGGATGAATAAACTTCTTAGGGAGGGCACAAGTCCATCTATGGCTCTGTGTGTGTGTGTGTGTGTGTGTGTGTGTGTGTGACAACACTGAGTCTACAACACACGAACAACCAGAGAGACATTCCAGAATGTCCAGCTGGAGCTGACACACAATCACTGCATCTTTAAACTACTTTTCTCTTCCTTAATTTTTTTTCATTTGTGTTACTCGTCCCCAGAGGCCCACGCTGGCACTGTTCTTCCTCACATCCTCAGCGCTGCCTGTCATCCATCAGTGCAAAGAGAGGCCTTACAAACAGCACTCGAGGGAGACACCCTTTCCTTTCCATTTCTCTTAGAAAGAGCAACTTATGGGACCAGCAGTTAGCGTAATGGCTATGTCACTGGACTCCCATGTAGTCAACTGCGGTTCGCATCCCGGACCCGATGGCTTAAAACTCACGCCGGGCGCGTGTGCATGCGTGCCCAAGATCCCGAGAGGAGAGCGGAGGAGAAGGGATTGCGGCGTGGCCATTCCCCCTGGAGGGTGATTTCTCGCTTTCTGTCTCTCTGTCTCTCTCTGTCTATCTGGCGAGCGCACGCGACCTGTAGCAAAAGAGCAACTTATAATGGGGAGGAGGAAAAATTGCATTTGGGTTAAAGGACTAGAAATAGCAAAGAGGAATCTGCTGCTTTGCTCCTTTAAGATGCTAAGATGCTAAAGGATTCTTGGTTTTTAAAAAAAGTAGTCGCCCCTTGGTCTGCACTGAGCATTAATATGGTCTGCCTGGTGATAAAGCAGAGGATGTGAGTGAGAGCTGTTAAAGGGAAAGGAGGCTGAGGCAGGTTTCTTCGGTGAATGGACATCCCAGGCTCATAAACACGACTCGTGAGGCTGGACGCACGGTGAGCTAGTCCTTAAAATTTGTGATATCCCTGATTCCAGTTGTTGATAGGTGAACTGTGGATTTTTGCCTCAGACAAGACTACAACGCTCAAAATGACAACTTAAAAAGAGAAATGACCAGGATTCCTAAGGCAACCAAAATACCTCACCGAATTGGGTTAAAATGCTTCTGGTATATGTCTGGGTATACTAGATAAGAGGAGAGAGCAGAGAAGATGGCATTTTCACCTTTTAAAAATTAATGTGGCCATCCCCCCTGGGGGGTGATTTCTGGCTTTCTGTCTCTCCATCTCTCTCTGTCTTTCTGGCGAGCGCACACGACCTATAGCTAAAACCTCTCAAAAAAAAAAAAAAGTTGCCAATTTAAAACAACTGTATAGATGCTATTTTATTAATCAAGTCCATTTTTTATTGATGGCAACACAAAATTTTCATCAATTTATACCATATTTAACTAGCGTCAAATGATTATTTAGCTAAAGCCATAACTTAACTTTACTGCTAACGCAGAGCAGGAATCTCATTTTTTTAAGAATTATTTCATTTAACTTTATTTTTTTTAGAGGTTTTTGCTATAGGGCACATGCACTCTCCAGACAGAGACAGAAACAGAAAGCAAGAAATCACCCACCAGAGGGGGATGGCCATGCCTCAATCCCTTCTCCTCCATTCTCCTCTCAGGGTCATGGGCACGCACACAGGTCCAGGACTTGAACCGCGGTTGACTACATGGGAGTCCAGCGACATAGACATTACACTAACTGCTGGTCCCTTTATTTATTAATTTTAATTTGATCAAAGAGAGACAGAGTGAGAGAGAGAGAGAGAGAGAGAGGGAAAGTGAGAAACCAAGCAGCCAGGTTCGGAACTCGAACCGCGGTCAGCCATGTGGGAGTCCAGTGCCCTTAACCACCACACCACCTGCCAGCCCTGTCTAATTTTTGTTTTTAATGTGAACATTTTATGTGCACCCAGTGTAATTTTTTCTCAAGGTAAGAGTTCAAGTACCAGCTCATTTAAATAACTAACGAGGGCCTCAGGCATATAGTCCCCAGTGAAATACCGAGCAAATCTCTGTGTGACTGCAGATGCAGCTGAAGGGGAGAGAGGTTAGTTTGGTTTCCACTCAGTTTTGAAATCTGTTTACACGCCAGACTTGAAGCTTCCTTTTCCAAATTCTCACCAAGTATGCAGGGGCCTGCTCACTGGCTGTGCACAGAAGCTTGGTAACGTCATCGTTCTGTGCCTTTCAGAGTCAAGTCTATTTCTTGTCTTTGATAAAGGGGAAGTCTTTGTCCGTGTCACATGCTACCTCGTTTTCTTTTTAATGCGATGTGACAACTTGAATTCCAAAGGAGGCTTCACAATGAGAAGGAGATTGAACCACAGCATCGGTGCCAACAGCCCCCAGAGCTGCTCTAATTAGAGCTCCCTTCCTCCATTTCTAGTTCTCAGGAGAGGACAGGGGGCTTTTTAATTGGGGCTATTAGGAGCTCTCCTTACACAATGACACCCTCTGCTAAGTGAAGGCTCCAGCGAAAGCCGTGCCCACTCTGCAATTACTTCCTGCAATTCCGAAGAATAATAGTATCTTGTCTCATTTAAAAATAAATCTGAGGTTTATTCCTTATTGGTTTCTCGCCTCTGCCTACTCACATGAAGTTCCCCTTGCCAATTAAGCAAACTTTCCATTATTTAAGGAGGTAGTTTCGATCATAACCATCCTCTGATAATGAGACGTATTAAGCTGGATTTCATTTGCCCACAGCTCCTTTATTTCAGATAGAAGGCTAATTAAAACGAGCTCAGCTCTCAGGTCTGGCGTTTCTTCTGTGGCAAAATGGTGCAGCTTTGGAATTTTCTAAGCAGGGTTCTATTTGCAGGCCCCACACTCACCTGAAATAACCCGCATGTCCAGCTCTCTCAGCTTCTCAGAACCACTTCCTCTTAAGAGACCAGATGTAGGCTTGCATTTATGACCTATCCCAAGAAAAGGAATGAAATGTTCAGATGATAAAACAAGCTTTTCTTTTTCTTTTTCTTTCTTTTTCTTTTTTTTTTCTATAGCGCACATGTGTTCACCAGAGACAGAGAAAGGGTAGAGAAAGAGAGAGAGGGAAAGTGAGAAATCACTCCTCCCCAAGGGAGCATGACCATGCCACAATCCCTTCTCCTCCTTTATCCTCTCAGGATTTCGGGCATGCGCACACTCACATCCGGTGTGTTTTTCAAGCCGCTGGGTCTGAGATACGCTGCCATGGGCCACGTGGGATCCAGCTGCCTTAACTATCACGCCACGTGTTGATTCATATATTCATACTATATATTCCCCATGTTGGTTTAAAGGATTACCAAGGAGAATGGGTCATTTACAATAGGGCCTAGAATAACAAAACACAGAGAGCTTTTCCTGTTTAAGTTTTTCAGCTATCTCCCACTAACAAACACAGGTTATTTCTAAAACCAGTGACTTCTCCGCTACCATAAAGGTCATTTAGCCATTTCTTTGAAAGAAAAGCACCAGTTCTTATGCACAGAAGATTATATTATTTATGTTATTGCAAACATATACCTGACACACATAACAGTTCACGTATACTTAGTAGAATCAGCAGGTGCACCACAGATGCCAAATTGAACTACAATGGAAAGTAAATCCATAGATAAGACAACGAGTTCCTCGCATTCTCTGAAAATACGGATTTGTCTCTCAGTACTTACTCTGCCACTTCTGTACTTTCCTGTGGCCTTCAAGTATTTTGTAGATAATGAGGATGATCAGAAACACAAAAACTAAGAGAACTAAAATGTACCAAGTGATCTTCATGGAACAAGGGGCATCTGTAAAGAAAAGGAAAAAACATAAAAATAATACAAATGCAATAAAATGAAGCAACGAGGCAAAGTGTAGCGTGGCTTAGTCCTACTATACATGCTTTTGGGCTTTTTGTTTGTTTGGTTTTCTGTTTGTTTGTTTTTCTATAGGGCACTCGCTGGAGAGAGACAGAGAGAGGAAATTTTAGAAAGCAACCCTCTCCCCCCACCCCAGAGGAATGGCCACACCACAGTCTCTTTGTCTTCATTCTCCTCTCCAGATTTTGGGCACACACACTTGGTGCGATTTTCAAGGTGTTGAGTCCGGGACTCAAATTGTGGAGAGCCATGCGGGAATCCAGCATCTTAACCACCATGTCAGCTGCTGGCCCCTCTACTACATATTGTTAACTAAAAAGCTGGAAACATAACTGTAACTACTACACTCCTGAATTTTTTCTGATATATTGTATGAGGAAACTTCACCGGGTGACTTTCAGGGATCAGTTTCATTCTAAAATTTCGGAATAATTTTACTTACAAATCATGTTGATAAGGGACCAGCAGATAACTTCATGGTTACATTGCTGGATTCCCAAGTAGCCAACCACGGTTTGAGTCCCAGACCCGACAATTAAAACTCACACTGGGCACGTGTGCGTGCGTGCCCAAGATTCCCAAGAGGAGAGTGGAGGAGAAGGGATTGCGGTGTGGCCATCTTCCCTGGAGGCATATTTCTCACTTTCAGTCTCTCTGTCTCCCTCTGTCTTCTGGTGTGCACATGCGCCCTATAGCAAAAACCTCTCTTAAAAAAGAAATTATGCTGCTAATAGTCTCATTACCATGGTCTCACTACACTAAGACCACACAAGGCAGTGAGCCAGAATCAGAGTAATTTGTAATGAACAGTTTTTGCCCTGAGCCAAGCAGCCCAAAACGATGTCCTCAACTCAACAGCATGTGCAGGGGGTGGGGAAGAAGGGGACAGGTGGGCAAAGACTGTGGTCAGGACCAGGGCAGATGAATCACTGGGCCATCTTTCCACCAGGTCATAGACAGTCCAGAGACCTGCACACCAATGATCAGATCAACTCCAAGCATGAGTTAAACATACAGTAGACCCGGCCTAGACCAAACAAGGAAACAGGTATAACTGTGTTCCCTGGAGCAGCATGGGAAGGGGTGGTCACCATCCAGCAGCCATCAGGCACTGTCTCCCTTAGTCCCATGCAGACACAATGACCAGCAAACTAAGAACCAATGACTTAACAAGGGGGAACCTCATCATGTCCAAAACATAACTGCCTATCAACTTTCTAAGCCATCTCATGTACTGTCTTTTTCTGTATACAAAACAAGGCCAGTATTTATTTAACCTCACAAAATACCGAACTTGTTTAGACCCCTGGATGGCAGCTTTCGTGAGGTTCATGATCTGGGTCTTCCCTTTGCAGGAACCCAGATGTACACTCAATGGGTATTTGACATTTATTTAGCAAAGAGGCTGAATGGAAAAAGGGCAGAGAGGGACTGGGATGGCAGCACTCAACACCCTTCCATGCTCTTTAGCTGCCAAACATGCACTCCATACTCGCTAGGTAGGAGCATGCAGTTAAACGACAGAGAGGATTTGCAGTACCAGCAAGAGCCAAGATGGGCCCAATGAGCAAGACATCATTAGACATTGACTTAACTAGGAAAACGTCACTATAGACATTCGCCAACTTTATATTGCAATAGCAGAATTCGTGTGAATGGACCCAGACCAGCCAGTGCACCCACCAAAGCAGCAGCACCCACTCTCAAAACAGTGTGTCTCCCAAGGCCGGCAGGTGGTGTGGTGGTTGGGGGTGTTGGACTCCCACGTGGCTGACCACAGTTTGGGGCCTTGACCTGGTGACTTGCTTTCTCACTTTCCTTTGCTTACCCATCTCATGTACTGTCTTTTTCTGTATACAAAACAAGGCCAGTATTTATTTAACCTCACAAAATACCGAACTTGTTTAGACCCCTGGATGGCAGCTTTCGTGAGGTTCATGATCTGGGTCTTCCCTTTGCAGGAACCCAGATGTACACTCAATGGGTATTTGACATTTATTTAGCAAAGAGGCTGAATGGAAAAAGGGCAGAGAGGGACTGGGATGGCAGCACTCAACACCCTTCCATGCTCTTTAGCTGCCAAACATGCACTCCATACTCGCTAGGTAGGAGCATGCAGTTAAACGACAGAGAGGATTTGCAGTACCAGCAAGAGCCAAGATGGGCCCAATGAGCAAGACATCATTAGACATTGACTTAACTAGGAAAACGTCACTATAGACATTCGCCAACTTTATATTGCAATAGCAGAATTCGTGTGAATGGACCCAGACCAGCCAGTGCACCCACCAAAGCAGCAGCACCCACTCTCAAAACAGTGTGTCTCCCAAGGCCGGCAGGTGGTGTGGTGGTTGGGGGTGTTGGACTCCCACGTGGCTGACCACAGTTTGGGGCCTTGACCTGGTGACTTGCTTTCTCACTTTCCTTTGCTTACTCTGTCCCTCTTTAGTCAAATTAAAATAAAAGAATAAATAACGTTAAATAAAATAGTTCTTAAAAGAAAAAAATAGTGTGTCTTCCTATATCTCATGTGGCCCTCCTACTCTCATTCCTACTGCCGTCTTGGGGAAGACCAAGGGCCAGTAAATAGGAAATTTAGACCATTGAAATGATTATTTCAGAGTAAAATAGACCAGATTGGACTAAATTTAGTTTCACCCCGATGAAGAGGGCTTTTCCAGTAGAGGAAATTATTCTTCGTACAGTAGGGTAGAATGTACATGAAGCTTTATCCTTGACACATTTTCCAGAATACAAGCAAACAGATTTGTATACCACTGTTATCTTTCGGCATTATGGGACACAGCCACCCCCATATTGTTAACTATCATTTCACTTTGAATCTAGAATTTATGGATTTTTTTTTCCATGAATACAAACATCAATTCACAAGGATAAATTCTCAAAAACAAATAATCACAATTATGGAAGTTCTTATTTTCCCCTTAAGGGTCAGAAACAATATAAAAAGCAATTAGATAGCAATGTAAAATAAATATGTTTTTAATAGCTATAATCCAAAGCTCTTGATCTTTCAGATTCCTCTATAGTCACCTTCTCTAGGCAGTCTCTCCAGATTTCACTTTCTAACTTCACTTCTAAAACAGACACTTCGGGGACCAGCAGTTAGCATAATGGCTATGTCGCTGGACTCCCACGTAGTCGACCGCGGTTCGAGTCCTAGACCCGGTGTCTTAAACTCAGGCCGGGCGCGTGTGCGTGCGTGCCCAAGATCCCAAGAGGAGAATATAGGAGAAAGGATTGTGGTGTAGCCATCCCCCCTGGGGGGTGATTTCTCGCTTTCTGTCTCTCTGTCTCTCTGTCTGTCTGGTGAGCACACGCGCCCTATAGCAAAAACCTCTCCAATAAATAAATAAATAAATAAAAAACAAACACTTCTGTTCAGACCCTCTCAGATCCTCGTCCATATCCCCCTATATACTTGCGCCTTGAAATAACCTCTCATTGCAGAGGCTGTAGAGCTCTGGGCAAAGTAAGTCGCAGGAGAAATTTCTTTGAAGTCATTCAAGGAGACTTGAAGAATGCATGTTATGAAAAAAAATTATGCATGGATTTCAAATTTTTCTTTGCACCAAAATAAACTCCTCTTTTAGTTCCATTCTTCCCCCAAAACTTTGACGTGCCCTCACATTTTCCCTGATAAAGGCATATACATTATATATACTCATGCTTGCTTTAATGTAAACATAACATTTTTTAAATACCTGCCTTTGAAATAATTAAAGCTTCCAAAAGGCTTTCGTGTGACTGGAGCATCAAAAAGCAGAAATTAGACTGCCATATGCATTTGCTTATTTGTGTTCTCTCCCTCTTCTAGACTGTTCTATGTTCATCTAACTCTATCTTCTACGCCAGACAGGTGCTCATTAAATAAAGATATCACAAAATGCTCTCCAAGAGTAGATTTGATGGGTAAAGTGGGGGCACGTGGCTTAGTCGAAAGGATTAATTATGGTCATTCAGAATAGAATGGTTAGGAAGTTAATTAGGCTTAAACAATTAAAATACACACAAGGAGGAGCCAGCAGATGGCATAAGGGTTACATTGCTGGATTCCCACATGGGTGACCACTGCTCGAGTCCCGCCCCCTCTGCCTCAGGTTACAGCTGAGCCCCATGCAAAGCACATTTGGAAAGAAAAACAATCCCCCAAATGAACATTCTTTCAGGCCACATCGCTTCATCGTTAAAGTTCTTCAGCTATTTGAATTCCAGTTAATGTGGTAGCCCTTGCTTAATGTTATGTGTCTATATCTGATTTCTCTTTTTTTCTATAATTTCCCAAAAACTTTTTTGTTGTAAAAGAGAGAAGAGGAAAAAGAGAAGATGAGAAGGAGGAGGAGGAGAGAGAGTGGTTCTTGACAAGATCTCACCAAGTCGTGATCTTCCCACCCTGCCTCACACTTAGCGAGGGCCACAGGTACACTCCACTACACCTCGCATTTTAAGATTGGGCATGAAACCAAACATGGGCCTCCTGTGTGGTTCAGCCTCCATACAGTGGTGCCCCTCCCCACCTTCTGTCACTGCTTCCGGGACCAAACTTACTTTTTACATCCATTTCTAGGTGCAAGGAAATGTGTACACAATTATGTGGACAATCCGTCATCCTCCAAGTGTGGTTTATAGACTCTTCCTTGGTTGGCTCTTCCTCTGTGATTGCTAAATCTCCAGTATGAGTTGTTAGATTACAGGTGGTATTATATTCCTCCACGTGGTCAGCTAAAGGAGCCACCGTGAAGTGAAAATGTTGACAAGGTGAATGGAAATTATTCTCTTTCACTTCCATTGATCCATTCATGATAAGAACTAGAAAGAGATTAAGAAATATTTCAAAATAGTAATACATGATAAGAAAGCACATAACATTCCAACTAGCACCTTTCTATACAATAAAGGAGAAATAAGAATTTACCTGCCCTAAGAATAATGATTAAAACGATTCATTTTTAATATCACAAAAATCAGGTGGCAGTAGGATTGAAAGGGGATTGGAGCATCTCAAAAATATAATAAGCAGGGAACCAGCAGTTAGCATAATGGCTATGTCGCTGGACTCCCATGTAGTCGACCGCGGTTCGTGTCCCGGACCCGGTGGCTTAAAACTCACGCCGGGCGCGTGTGTGTGCGTGCCCAAGATCCTGAGAGGAGAATGGAGGAGAAGGGATTGCGGCGTGACCATCCCCCCTGGGGGGGTGATTTCTCGCTTTCTGTCTCTATGTCTCTCTCTGTCTGTCTGGCGAGCGCACGCTGAGATCCTTCTAATAGAGATTTCCTTATTCAGAGCAGCCACATAGTCAAGCCCACATGGCCAATGTCCACAGCTCCTATCTCAACCCAAACCACGTACCAGGGGTGGACCTATGACCAAAAGGAAGACAATCCATAGGCTAATCAGAGACTTAGAATATGGTCTGGTACGTAAAAAGGAGCTCTTGCTCTCAGGAGTTGCACTTTGGAAGCTGACATAAAGCATAAAAAGAAATAAGCAGGGAACCAGCAGTTAGCATAATGGCTATGTCGCTGGACTCCCATGTAGTCGACCGCGGTTCGTGTCCCGGACCCGGTGGCTTAAAACTCACGCCGGGCGCGTGTGTGTGCGTGCCCAAGATCCTGAGAGGAGAATGGAGGAGAAGGGATTGCGGCGTGACCATCCCCCCTGGGGGGGTGATTTCTCGCTTTCTGTCTCTATGTCTCTCTCTGTCTGTCTGGCGAGCGCACGCGCCCTACAATGAAAATCTCTCAAAAAAAATATAATAAGCAGACATTTCTCTGATGTCTTATGAGGCAAACAGTATTTTCCAAAATGGTCACAACAATATTTTCTATCCTACATGAGACTAATTTTCTAGGGCTACTATAACAAAGTACCATAAATGGGGTGGCTTAAAGAACAGAACATTTTCTCAGAGTTCTAGAGGCTAGAAGTGTGAGATCAAGGTGTCAGCAGGGTCAGTTCCTTCTGAGGGGCATGAGGAAGAATCTGTCTGACATCTCTCTCCTAGCTTCTCATGGTTTGCTGGCAATCTTTAGTGTTCATTGGCTTGTAGAGGCATTGTCCTGATCTCTACCTTTATCCTTACATGGTGTTCCCCCTACATGCGTACCTCTGTGTTCAAATTTCTCCTTTTTATAAGGAAGCCAGCTATGGACTAGGCCCCTCCCCGATGACCTCACCTTAACTAATTATGTTGCAATGACCCTACTTCCAAGTACAGTAATGTGTCACTCAATGATGGGGACATGTTCTGAGAAATGTGTTGTTTGGCAATGTTGCCATGGTACCAACACCACAGAATATGCTTACACGAATCTAGATGGTATAACCTACTACACCACATACACTATATTGTTTAGCCTATTATAATTTTAAGGGACCATAATATGTGCTATCATTGACAGAGACATCATTATACAGTGCATGACTGTAACATCACATTTTGAGGTATTAGTGGTTAGAATGTCAAAATATGAATTTTGGGGGAGCATAGTTCAATTAGTAACATACATGTTACCTTAAAACTTTGCATTTTCTCCATAAATAGATGGGCTCTAATTTTTTTGGTTTATTTATTTTATTCATGAGAGAGAACATGTGGATAGCTGAGGAAAGAGAGAGAATCAGGCACCCCTACAGAATCTCATCACACCACAATCCCCTTCTTCTCAGTTCTCAGCTCCAAAGGATCTTGAACACACACACAGGCACCTGCATGTTTTCAGGCCACCCCAGGGTCCAAATCCACCACTGGACATGTAGGTTCCCAGGACTGCAGTTCAGTTTGCTACCAACTGCATCACTAGGCTGAGCCAACAAAGTCTAATTTCTTTCCCCTTGAATCTGGGTGGGTTCATTATTTACTTGTCAAATGCAGACCAATTACATCGCATGACTAAGCCAGAAAAGGTAAAAAGAAAAAAAATGTCCACCTTTCCTTTGGGACACTAACACTGGAGCCTTGAACCACTATAGAAAAATGCAACAACCTAAAGTCAGCATGGGAAGATGACATAAAACACAAAGGACATAATTAATAAAGTAAAAAGACAACCTACAGAATGGGAGAAAATATTTGATACCACATAGCTGATAAAAGGTTACCATCCAAAATAAGTAAGGAACTCCAACCACAAAGAAGAAGATGAAGAAGAAGAAGATGAAGAAGACGAAGAAGTAGAAGAAGAAGAGGAAAAAAGAAAGAAAGAAAGAAAGAAAGAAAGAAAGAAAGAAAGAAAGAAAGAAAGAAAGAAAAGAGAAGAAGAAAGATTAAAAGTAGGCAAACGACTTGAATGGACATTGCTCCAAAGAAGACATAAAAATGACCAGTTGATATGTGAAAAGGTGCTTATAACTAACCACCAGGGGAATGAAAATCAAAAACACAATCGACTCTTAACTCACACCTATCAGAATAACTTATGTGTACGTGTATATCCTTGGAAAAGGAAAAATCAGAGCCCTTGTACATTGTTAGTGGAAATGTAAAGTGGTCCAGTCCTCATAGAAAACAGTGTGGAGGTGCCTCCAAAAATTAAAAAATAGAATTACCATATGATCCAGCAGTCCTATTTCTTGGTATATTTCTAAAAGAATTAGAATCAGGATCTTGTAAACCTATCTGCATTTCCATGTTCATCTCAGCACTATTCACAATAATCAAGATATAGAAACAACCTAAATGCCTATTGACAGGTGAATTGATAAAGAAAATGTGATAAAATAATACATACACAATAGAATGTTTTCAGCCTTTCTTTTTTAAAATGTTATTTATTTATTTTTTTAAATTTGCTACAAGGATTATTCAGCCTTTCTAAAAAAGAAAGATCCTGCCATATCCAACAACATGGAAGAATGTGAAAGACATTACATTAAGGGAGGTAAGTCAGTAACAGAAGGACAAATACTACATGGTTCCACTTACATGAGGTACCAAAAGTAGCAAACTATCAAAAACAGGGAGTAGAATAGTGGTTATCAAGGCATAGAGAGAGGGGGAATTGGGTTCAATGGCTGTAAATTTTCAGTTATGCAAAGTAAGTAAATTCCAGAGTGCTGCTGTACAGCGTTGTGCCTATAGTTAATGATAATGTTTTGAGCAGTTAAAATTTAAGAGGGTAGATTCATGTTAAGTGTTCTTACTGGGACCAGCAGATGGCGTGGTGGTTAAGGGTGCTGGACTCTCACATGGTCGACCATGGTTTGAATCTGGACCTGGTGGCTTGCTTTTTCACTTTCCCTCTCTCTCTCACTCTCACTCTGTCCCTCTATGGTCAAATACAAATAAATAAAGTTAAAATTTTTTTAAATGTTCTTACCACAGTAATAACAAGAAGAAACCACATAGAAAAACTCTGACACCTGTCAGATACCCACCTGTGTCAAGGTGTTCAGTGTCCTGCCCCCCTGTTTTAACGCCAGTCACCGTCTAATCCCAAAATCATGAAAGCCAAAAATGCCCAGTTATGCCTATTCTGAATTCCTGACCCACACAAAAATACAAGAGAAATAATAAGACGATTGCTATTGTTTTAAGCCACTGAATTTTTGGATGATTTATTACACAGCCATAGCAACTGGGACAACTAGTTAAAGCACTGTTTTCACTGTTTTCAAGGGGGCCAAGTAACATCTGTGAGCTACCAACCCTTAAAACACTTGCTATTTTATCATCATAAAGGCGTTTTCCCAATTTTCCTTCTGGTGAATTCAACCCACAATTCTTAATAATTATACAACTGAGTAAGAATTGTGCACAAAGAAATCTTGTTCTCAATGGAAAAACGCTAATATCTAGTGATATAGGAGGTAATTTCACTAAATAGGTATAAGCAATAAATCTTGTTGTGTTTTGTTTTGTTTTGTTTTCAGAGATTTTTGCTATAGAGCACATGCACTCACTGGAAAGACAGAGAGAGAGAGAGAAAGTGAGAAATCTCCCCTCCCCCAGGAGAGATGGCCACACCACAATCCCTTCTCCTCCATCCACCTCTTGGGATCTTGGACGCGCAATCCCACATGACCAGCATGAGTTTAAGTCACCAGGTTCGGGACTCGAACTGTGGTTGATTACATGGGAGTCCAGCAACGAAACCATTACATGCTGGTCCATTTATAGATTTTTTTTTTTTAGACATTTTAAACAATAAATTTGATGCTTGAGCTTGAGGCCATTCACATATTTTCTGACTATAAATTAATTACTTAATTTCTCAATAGCCCAATGTGATTCAATTTAATTAAATAATATATGGTGATCTCATAATAAATACAAGGTTCCGCTAGGTCCTGCAGATAATATGTAATTATTATTTTGTTTATTCATTCATTTAGCAAATATATATTACACCGGATATTATGCTAAAAGCTAGAGATACAGTGAACAAAGACAAAGGCCTCACCTTGAAGAGGGTAATTGGTATGTCAGATCAGTAAAAAGACAATTCATGTACAGTATATAAACATTAGGCAGGAAGAGGTACAAATGCAAAAAGAGTTCAATGACTCCTTGAAAAATTAGTTTTATTTTACTATAAGAATCCAAGAACTAAATTAACGGGTTTTTTTTTTTTTTTGAGAGGTTTTTGCTATAGGGCGCGTGCGCTCGCCATACAGACAGAGAGAGACAGAGAGACAGAAAGCAGGAAATCACTCCCCGGGGGGGTGGCCACGCCGCAATCCCTTCTCCTCCATTCTCCTCTTGGGATCTTGGGCACGCACGCACACGTGCCCGGCGTGAGTTTAAGCCACCGGGTCCGGGACTCGAACCGCCGTCGACTACGTGGGAATCCAGCGACATAGCCATTATGCTAACTGCTGGTCTCAATTAACGTTGTTTTTAAACTCACTTTTGAAGAGAGTATGTTAAATAATTCTTCAACCATCAAAAGTATGTGAATACATATGTGAAGTATGATGGTATTTTTATTTATTTTAAGAATAGATACTTGAGGGCAAGCAGGTGGCATGGTGGTTAAGGCAGCACATGGCCAATTGCTGTTTGAGTCCTGGAACCAGTGGCTTGAAAATCATGCCAGGCGTGCACACGTGCTTACCCAAAATTCCAAAAGAAGGGATTGTGGTGTGGCCATGCCCTTGGAGGGTGATTTCTTACTCTCTCTTTCTCTGTCTCTTTCTGTCCTTCTCTGGCGAGTGCACATGACCTATGGGGAAAACAATAATAGATATTTGGTTTTCAATCAATCAAAAGAAACCAAAAATTATTAATATCCCAAAGCCCAAAAGGTCAACCATCAAGAGTCACACCACGAAGCCCCCATGCCACTAGCTTCTAAAATGGAATGTATTAATACTATTTTTAATAGAATAAGTTAATTCATCCTTGAAACATTTTATTCTCATTTTCACTTTGCATTTACCTTTTGATGTTTGTTCCTGAGAAATAAAATCCACGTTTTCTTTGGACTCACAAACCAAACAGGATGTGATATCTTGGCAAATCCCAGTGAAATTCTGAAAACTGGTGTGATTTAGAAAAATCCCCATAATAATCTGAGTTCTCCTCACTGGTTGCAGAAACGTCATAAAAGAAACATTGAAGGAGAGTGAATAGATGAGATTAGGTTGTAAACATACTTCCAGACATGATAGCTCCGACATTCTTCCTGTAAATAAATAAATAAAAATAAATGAATAAAACTCTCTTCGCTATGACATTTGTTCTCGAATAGACCCTCAAGTTAATTGCATACAGTTGAAGAGGGGATGAAAACTTTAAGCAGCATCTCTGTATTATTTTCCTACGGCCGCTGTACTAAACTACCACAATCGTAGGAGTTAAGAACAGGAGAAATTTATTCTCTCACAGTTTGGAGGCCAGAAGTTCAACATCAATCTCAAAGGTCCCAAATCAAGATGATCTGCGAAATCATGTTTCCCCAATGCTCTTTAGAGAAATCCATTCCTTGCCTTTCCTCCAACTTTCAGGGGCTGTGGGCATTCCTTGCCTTGTGGTCACATCATTCTATCATTCTGTCTCTAAAGCCCCATTGTCTTCAATTCTGTATCTTCTTTGTCAACTCTCCCTCTGTTCCTCTCATAAGGCAATTGTGCGGAGCCAGAGAATGGTGCGGCATTGAAATGCCACACTCTGCAAGGCTGACCTGCATGGAGGGTTCTGGGTTTGTGACCCACATCCTCCCTGAGTATGCTGGGGATCATGGTCCTGAACTGGTTGGGTCTGAGGGTTGGTCACGTGTTAAGACTCTGTTGGGTAGTTCTCTCTCTCTTTGTCTCCCTTTCACTCAAGCAAGAGACAAATAAATAAGATGTTTTTAAAAATCTGTTTGGATTTAGAACCCACCAGGATAATATCCCCATCTTGAGATCCTTAATTTAATCACGTCTATAAAGGCCTTTTCTTCTCATAAGGTAATGTTTGCAGGTTCCAGGGATTAGCACCGGATATCTTTGGGTGGTCATTCACCAGCTTACTGGATTCTCCAATAATGAAATTTAACAGGGAAATACAATCTTTATTTTTGTCTAAAGACAAACATCGGTCATGAACATAATTGTAGAAAAGGAAGAATATCCGTTCAAAAAAAAGACAAAGACCCTAGTGTTACCTCTGTCACTAGCAGATACCTGGACAATTTGGACAATTTGCTTAATCCCTATGAGAATAGTTTTCTTTATCAGCAAAATAGAGAAAATAAGTTTGAACACTGCTAACCCCCTAGGTAACAGTAACATCAAGAGGTATAGTACGTACGAGAACACCTTTCAAATTTGTACATGTGTGTGTTGTTTGAAATGATAGTGCATATTCCAAAGTAAAAATTAAAAATTCAGGGACCAGCAGGTGGTGTGGTGGTAAAGGCACTGGACTCCCATGTGGCCGACTGTGGTTTGAGTCCCAGACCTGGAGGTTTGCTTTCTCACTTCCCCTCACTCTCTCTCTGGTCACCTTGAAAAATAATAATAAATTAAATCAAATAATTTTTTAATTAAAAACTCATTGTTCATTTAAGATAAGATTCTGTGATTTAATTTACACAAATAAACAGAGCTTGCTATATAGCGATTAGGAATCCCTACTTAACGGTAAAGATCAGCAAAGGGAGAGCTCTGGTGAGTGTAGACCCCTTTCAGAAATTCCCTGGCTGACAGTCATTAGTAATACCTGACGTGCTCAATTCCACCTTCATTTGTTTTTCTTACCATCTTCATATAACCAATCATGTGGGGCAAAATGGATTTTTAAGATTTTTTAAATAATGTGGAGCACAAAAAAACAATTAAGTCATTTGTTAGGAGGATTAGTCCTGGGGCCAGCAGGTGGCATGATAGTGAGGGCGTTGGACTCCCACATGGTTGACTATGGTTTGAGTCCCGGACTCAGCGGCTTGCTTTCTCACATTCCCACTCTATTTCTCTGGTGGGCCTGAGTGCCCAATGGAAAATTAAATAATAATCATAAAATTAAATAAATATGTTTTAAAAGGTTAGTCTTAATCATACATCTTGATTCAAACTAAAAACAAATTCAAGATATTGATTGCTATTAAAGTATTTTGAACGATACCTCCATAAGTCTTTAATTACTGGTTATTTTTTTATGGCAGTCAAATTCTAATGGTAATAAAAATATAGTCTTCAGTATAATGTTAAAAATGGAAATGCACCATTTAATGGAGCTCTATAACTTTTTCTCTAATTCTAAGACAGCTGAAAAACTATTTCTTGCCACCCTTCCAGTTTTCTTGCTGACAATGTTCATCTTATTAAATTTTCAACTTCTTGAATTTATATTGCTATGATATGACCCAGAAAAGAGATAGAGGAATTTTTACTGTCAATATTGCAGTCTTATCCAGTGCGATCAACTGAGCTTCTAGAATTAATGATATATCCTTCTTATGTAGCTAGGAAGATCACTTTATGATTATTTTTAAGCCCCAGCTTTAAATAACCCATTCAGAAAATAAATAAATAGGCACATCCTCCCCTGGTATAATTCTAAGAAATAAATAAATTCTACTTGATTCTTTTTATTACCAGGTGGGCCGCATTTTCATTTCCATAAATAAGGATTTATGAATTTAACTAAGGTCATTGATATCACTGGGAGTCAGCATGTAAATTCTCACTCTCAGAGACAGATATACATTGCAGAATTAACTCTGGCGCTGAGATGCAACCTCTCAGAGGATGTATACAGAATTAGGAAAATGTGTACATTACAATAGGACCAATAACCAAATCCAGGATTTTCTCCTTTGAAAGCAAAGCAAATATGAAGACCAAAGAAACATCAACTCTATGTTCTTTTTCAACTTTAATTATAAAATCCATCAGACATGGGACCAGCAGTTAGCATAATAGCTATGTCGCTGGACTCCCATGTATTCTACCACAGTTTGTGTCCTGGGCCCAGCGGCTTAAAACTCACGCCAGGCTCATGTGCATGCGTGCCTAAGATCCCGAGAGGAGAATGGAGGAGAAGGGACTGCAGCGTGGCTATCCCCCCCTGGGGGGTGATTTCTCGCTTTCTATCTCTCTGTCTCTCTCTGTCTGTCTGGCAAGCGCATGCACCCTATAGCAAAAACCTCTCAAAAAAAAATCCATCAGACATGTGTACATATACCTGTACTGTACCAGATGAGGAATAATAAAAACAAACAAGCATTCAGGTACCCATCATCCAGATTAGGAGATAGGCTATCACCCATATCGTAGAAGCACCCTATCCTTCCCACCCCTACACCATAATACACATATTCCAAAAACGTATGTTACATATAAAATACTGTATGTATTCTTCTGTGCCTTGCTCTTTCTGTTTAATATATTTTAGTCATGTTGATGCATAATTAATTATTTGTGGTATTCTTATTTTTTTATCACCAGAGCACGCACGACGAAGAGAGCACCTTCCAATGGGGTGTGGTCATGCCACAATCCTTTCTCCTCCATTCCTCATCCTGTCAGGATGTTGGGCACACACACATGCACACATGCTCCATGTGTTCTTCAGGCACCCACACATACCCCGTGTGACTGGAACCATGTCCAGAGACCTCCCTGAAGACACCTAACGGGCATGCCCATACTCTGGGTTGACTGAGGCTAGGGATCGATGGTGCTGTCAAGACCCCATCAGGGTTGCTGTATCTCTCTCTCCATCATGAAGTAAATAAATAAACTAAGAAAAAACTCTACCCTACATTTTGTTCTGAAAGTTTTGCCTTTCGCACTGTAGTTCTGGATCTACCTTGGTTTTCTTGTATATCTTTCCACTGGAGGAGTAAGTGTTACTGTTCAAGTCACAGGAGACAACCTGGTCTTCAGTGTAGGCCAAGATGCCCTTCAGGCGGCCCTGTGATGCCAGCTCCAGCACTTTGTTGACATCATTTGATGTCATCATGTTTGGCAGCTTTCTCCAGACAGCAGGTCAGATCCTTGACGGACATGTGGTGGGTGGGGGCACAGAAGACCTTGCCCCCATTCAACTTCCCATTCAACTCAAATGACCTTGCCCACAGCCTTAGCAGCACCACGGTTTCCCAGAGGGACTGTCCATGGTCTTTTGGGTGGCTGTGATGGCATGGACTGTGGTTATGAGTCCCTCTGTCATGATGAAGTTGTCATGATGACCTCGGTAGAGGGGCTAAGCAGTTAATGGTACAGGAGGATCTTCAGGGAGCATCTTCAGGAAGGGACAGTGACCATCCTCACCAATGCTTCTGAACTTCTGTCTTTCTGATCATAGTTATTGGAATAAGCCATATATTTGTATCCTCCTAAAGTTCCTGTTGAAATCCTCATCACAGAATGGTGGTATTTGGAACTGGAGCCTATGGGAGGTAATTAGATCCTGAGGGTGAATCCCTAAAGAATCAGATTAAGAAGAAACCAGTGAGCTAGCTAGTTCCCCGTCCACCCTGTGAAAATACAACAAGTAGGCCATCTGAAACCCATGAGAGGGTCCTCACCAGTGCCCAATCCTGCTAGCGCCTGGTATTGGACTTCCAGCCTCCAGAACAGTGAGAAATGCTTTCCTGTTGTTTATAAAACACTCAGTCTATGGTACTTCATTGTAGTAGTCCCAACTAAGACAGCCAGCTATTCTGTTATTTGTTTTGCAATATAAATGAAAGCACATGTCCACGCAAACACGTACACACTAATATTCATAGCAGCATAGTTACAATAGCCAGAACCTAGAAACAACCCAGTGGATGAATGGATGAATGTGGTGTATTTAGATAATTAACTACTTAGCAACAAAAATAAAGGAACTACTGATATTCTTAGTAATGTGGTTGAATCGCAAAAACATGAGGCTAAGCCGAGGAAGCCATGCTGAAAATAGATACCATGTGACACATCCATTTACGTGCAATATAAGAAGGGACAGAACAAATCTATGGTGACACAGGTCCCAGTGTTGCCTTAGGGGCGGGAGGTGAATTTGACAGGAAAGGGCAGGAGGAATCTTTACGGGCGAGTGAAAATCAGCCTCTTCTATGTGACAGTAATTACATTGATGCACACCAATGTCCAAATCTACGAAATAGAACATATACCATCTTTCCATTTTATTGTATGTGAATTACGCCTTTTTAAAAACATAGCCAGTTAGGGACCAGCAGATGGCGTAGTGGTTACATTGCTGAAATTTCATGTAGTCAACCACGGTTTGAGTCCCGGACCCAGCAGCTTAAAACTCACACCAGGCACATGTGCGTGCACACCCCAAATCCCAAGAGGACACTGGAGGAGAAGGGTTTGCGGCGTGGCCATCCCCCTTGGCGGGTGATTTCTTGCTTTCTGTCTCTCTGTCTCTCTAGTGAGCACACAGGCCCTATAGTAAAAACCTCTCAAAAAAAAAAAAAAATAGCCATTGTTTCCAAAGATCTTTAATCATTACTGGCTATTTTGCAGCATAACTAGGCAATAGAATAAATATTAGCAGCCAGGATGGGAGAGACTATGGTTTAGCTGCCTCATTTGCAGAGAGTCATAAACAGAGGTGGTTTTTCATTTTGTTGCAGATCTGCCTCTTTAGGACAGGCAGAAGACTAGAGTGTCCATTTTCACAGCAAAAACGCAAACGACTGTATTTCTCTGTAGGAGCCAATAGTTGAAGCCATTCTGGAAATACAGAATAAGGGGGAGACCACATCGTGTTGTAGGTGAGTAATACATCTATAATAGTAACTGGATCAGGACTGTGGGAGTCAAGAGAGGACATGCATTTGTTTATATGCCATTTGGGGAAGACCATGTTTGCTGGGAGCAGGAGGCAAAGTTTGGGGTAACTTTTATCATAGCGGTATTTGAAAGGCAGGTTTGGGACATAAGAAAGAGACTGCTCATTTTACTTGTCGAAACAGAGGAAGTAAATGCTCTTGATGAAATTCCCCACAGATAAAGAAAATGGCAGGAAAGTGACTTAGGAAAAAGAGACACATATCTTTTCAAGTAAAATATTCTGTAAAATAAATTTCGCAGGCTGTACAAACTAAGTATAGATTTGTGATAAAATTTCATCTTTTTTCTTTTTTTTTTTTTTGGAGAGGTTTTCGCTATAGGGCGCATGTGCTCGCCAGACAGACAGAGAGAGATAGAGAGACAGAAAGAGAGAAATCACCCCCCAGGGTGGATGGCCACACCACAATCCCTTCTCCTCCATTCTCCTCTTGGGGTGTTGGGCATGCACACACACATGCCCAGCGTGAGTTTAAGCCACCAGGCCGGGACTCGGTCAACTACATGAGAGTCCAGCAACATAGCCATTATGCTAATTGCTGGTCCCGGTAAAATTTGGTCTTTCAAAAATATAAGATGAGGATGGGACCAGCAGCTGGCTGGCCCTCATGGGAAGGTTCGGGTCATGTCCAGAGACACTCCTAAGTAAACCAGGCATGCGTGTGCCCATGATCCAGGCCTGGCTGAGGTTGGGGGTGGAGCACAGATCAAGACTCTGTTGGCAGGACCAGCAGATGGTGTAATGGTTATGTCACTGGACTCCCATGTAGTCAACTACAGTTCGAGTCCCAGACCCGATGACTTAAAACTCATGCCGGGCGTATGTGTATGCGTGCCCAGAATCCCAAGAGGAGAATGGAGAAGGAATTGTTGCATGGCTATCCCCCATGGGGGGTGATTTCTCTCTTTCTGTCTCTCTCTGCCTCTCTAGTGAGCACACATGCCCTATAGCAAAAATCTCTTTTAAAAAAATCCTATTAGAGGTACTGTCTCTCTCTCGCTCTCTCTTGCTCATGGAAAAAATAAATAATACACTTTAAAAATAAGTAAGTACCCATTTTCCCCACTTCATTATTTTTTAATATTAAAAGTACTATAATGTTTGGGGCCGGCAGGAGGCATAGTGGTTAAGGGCACTGGACTCTCACGTGGCCGACCACAGTTCGAGTCCCAGAGCTAGAGACTTGCTTTCTCACTTTCTCTCTCTCTCTCTCTCTCTCTCTCTCTCTCTGTTCCTTTCTGGTCAAATTAAAATAAATTAAATAAAGATAAAACAAAATAGTTCTAAAAAATGAAACAATATATAATGTTCTGCATTGACCATTCCTTGTTTTATTATACTTGAATAAGTATCCACTTTGAAGAGCCAGGATAACACTTTCAGAAAATTCATTGCAATTACACTTAATATGCTTGTCTTGATAATATCGGCGTGAATAATGAGAATATGTGCTCGTGTGCTTCAAGGTTGATCCTACAGTTCACAAGTTAATTTCCTTTATCGTTCGCCTTCTTCAATTTCACTGCTCACTCTACATTTCTAGCAGAAAGTGCGAAATGGAAGGAGGAATGAAAGCGGGTCTACATCGTTTATGTCAGTTCGGCTCTTTAAAGTGAGAGAAGAAGTCCAGCAGGTAAAATGAGGTTTGAAATATTTTCCTCTGTGCTATTTCTGCCCTGCACCACAGTGCGTCATTGCGAGCAGATGGTGTAACTCACTACAATGTCTGAGTTGGGCAATTTTTGAGATATTGGCATGAGAACATTTCATTTGAAAAATCAATAACAATCATCCTTGCTTCTCCTGGAAAATATTTCTGCATGCACGTCAGGAGGAATATAAGGTGATCATTCACACTCTGACCTCTGTTACTTCTTTTTGCAAATGAAAATACAAAAAAACGTTCTTCTCAAGACTGGTTTGGAAGGAAGATTTTTGTTCTCTGAGACCAGCAGTTAGAGTAATGGCTATGTCGCTGGACTTCCATGTAGTTGACTGCGGTTCACGTCCTGGACCTGGTGGCTTAAAACTCATGCCGGGTGCGTGTGCGTGCATGCCCAAGATCCCGAAAGGAGAATGGAGGAGAAGGGATTGCAGCATGACCATCCCCCCTGGGGGGGGTGATTTCTCGTTTTCTGTCTCTCTGTCTCTGTCTGTCTGGCGAGTGCACACACCCTATAGCAAAAACCTCTTTGAAAAAAAAAAAACAGATTTTTGTTTTCATTGCACTTTATTTTTTTTAAAAATGTGTATCTTTATTGCGGTAATTACGAAACTGTATTTGTTTGCCAATCAGTCCTTCCTGTGACTGAAAACTTGAAAGAAGACTTTCTTTCATTTTTGTACTCCCAGGTAGGTACTATTGATCTGTAGGAGATCAAATACATAAAAGATCTAGTATTTACCATGGGAGCTAGCAAAGTCTCTCTCAAACACTGTCAGTCTGACAAAAAAGCAGGTTCCTTATTTGGGAGTAACCAGCTCACTTAATTGCAAGAAGCTCTGTGTCAAAATGTATCCATTTCTGTTTACAGCTCCATTACCGCAAACAGCTACATGTAGCAAACCATTAAATGAACTACTGCATCGTAGGTGCCTTTCAAATAGGCTGGAAGGTTAAAATGTTGCCATAGCAGAAACCTAAAGATGTGATTGAATGAAAGTAGAGAGCACAAGGGTGGGTAACAGGAACTGAAAATGAGAAGAAGGGATAGGGATGGGGGTAACTGTGTTCCCAGACACAGGAGTGCATGTAAACAAGACAGACGACTTATAGAATACCACGGGATGGTGAAGAATGTGGCTGACAATTTCATGTACATTTCCAAATAACTGGTAGAGTGAATTTCGAATGTGAAAAACACAAAGCAATGATAAATGGTAGAGATGGTGAATAGGTTCATTTGTTTCATTATTACATATTGCACATGCTTCAGAAAACCACACTCTAGGGGCTGGCCCCATAGCTTAGTGGTTAAGGGAGCTGGATTCCTCATAGCCAACCACAGTTTGGTTCCCAGCCCCGACAGCTTGAAAACACAGCAGGTGTATGTACCTGTGCGTCCCAAAGCCCAACGGGATGGAGAAATGGAAGAGAAGGGATTGTGGTGTGACCACTTCCCGTTAGGGGGGTGCTTTCTCCTTCTCTTTCTCTTTCTCTTTTCCTCTCTTTCTCTCTCTGGTGAGCAAACACACCCTCTGGCAACTAAAAAAACTACATGTACCACCCAAAAGATATACAACTATTATACATAAGTCAGAAATTACAATAAAGTTGTTGAAAAGTACTTATAAAACACTACTGTAAAGTAACCTATCTTACTACTGCACACCCAATGAAAACTTATTAAAAGTCTCCATGTGGAAGAAGTGCCCCTTCTTTAGTCAATTTAGATTAAATGGCTTACACTGTGTAATTGTGATAATTGAATACTCTCATTAATGACTATTCAGACACTCCGATATGTGCTTGATGAAAAATGATCAAACATGGGGCTCTATTTTTAACTTGGGACTTCAGACGGCTTATTATTTTGAAATCAAATCTATTAAACTTCATGAATACATTATTCCTCATTAAGATTCCGGCTATCAATGAATAATTTATAAGCAAAAAAATTATGTTATAATATTTATCTTAGAAATTAAAGTGAATAGAACATTTAAAAATGGGGGAAAAAAAGAAAGAAAGATAAAACGAACTGTAGGGGTGAACGAGTCGTGCTGATTATTGGAGGTTGGAAGCCACATGGAGGCCTGGGTTTGGTTCCCAGACTAACCTGAACATGCTGTCCACAGTTACCAGTGTCTGTATGCCCAGCTGATTGGGAGACCAGGGCAAGAGGATCTCAACATTATGAGATCCTGTCAAAAAATACCTTTCTTGGGGCCAGTAGGTGGCATAGTGGTTAAGGCGCTGGACTCCCACATGGTCAACCACGGTTTGAGTCCTGGACCTGGTGGATTGCTTTCTCACTTTCTCTCTTTCTCTGGTCATATTTAAATAAATAAATAAAGTTAAATAAAATAATTCTTTAAAGAAAAAACACAAAACCTATCTCTCCCTTTCCCTTTCTCTTTCCATTTCTCTCTCATAAAGGAAGAAAAAAAAAACAATGAAGAACAAACCCCACAAGTAAATAATAAGTAAAAGTAACTAGGAATCTCAAGGTTAATTTATATACTCTTAGATCGTTCAGCTTACCATCCAAATAGTTTTATCAGCTATGTTATTTTATGAAATACACTGGTTGATAATTCAACTCATTTTACTAGACTATCTCGTGATTAAAAACTCATTTTAAAAAGCAAAACACTTATGTTCACTCTTTAGTTTAGTTAGTCAATATAAAACTCTATTAAGGAGAGCTACAGGAACATACTCCCGGGGACTCATAAACTATTATAAGAACATAAAGCATTATTATTACATGATTGCGTGTGTAAAACGTTTGGCCTAATAAACAGCTTTTTGTTTATGGTGGCTCTGTGCAGATTTTGCACACCGAATAGCATGAGGAGAAGACAGTGGTTCTCAAACCGTTGTTTGTTGGCCCCAAGTAAGGTTCTTGCAAACCAAAACCAAGCAGTGAAGATAGTCTTAGGACCCCATCAGGGAACTAACAACAAACATCGTTATAAATGATGCTGGATGTTCGATTATGGTTGAGAAGAACTGCTACATGAGGATGAGGCCAAGGGAGTTTGGCTACGATGATGCTTCTAAAACTCTTTCTTCTACCCACCAATACGAGAGGACCCTAAAGCTCCCACCTGCCCTTCCCCAGAATTGATCTAACCTCGCCTTTTCCTGCTGCCCACTGCCTCAGACAGCCACA